TTCATACATATATTGATTTTGCAAACATGAAAGATGTAAAAAAATCAAAGCATCATAGAGGCATGTACCAGTGTTTCTGAAAGTCACTGAGGCTTAACAATGTGAGCCAGAGTCATATTACTTGCAAGAAGTTCCTGAGAGGCCACTGTGTTAAGCTGTGAAGGTGAAGCCTAAGTTGCAATGGTATTCCCAGAAATCTAGAGATAACAGATAAGATCTGTAAAGGATAGTTGCCTACAGAATAGAGCTGGCCTAAGAGAGAGGCTACAGGTGGCATTGTTAGAGGGGCAAAGCTACCCAAGTCCACCCTTATGATTCTGTCAAAACCTCCACATACCTGACAGTTTATAGAGAACTAAATGATAAAATAGTATAGGTATAAAAGATTAAGCTTGTCCTAGGGGTGCATGATCCCCACCCCATATTCCATGTACATTTCTCTCCTACAAAAATGTACCCTTAGAGAAATTTCACTCTGCCCAGGGCCCTTTCAGCAGAGAAGTATGGCTAATGGAAAAGCAAAGGCTGGGAAGCTGGTACATGGTTTACTGATAAGAACTGGGGAGTCAGCTCCAGTGTCAGGAACACTAGGTTAGAGCATGGTCCAGCTCCCCTTTCTAGCTGAGTCAGGCCAGGAGGTACAAGTCAGCTCCACTGAAATAATCTGGAATAGGGTGAAGCTCACAACAGCTCAGGATTTGAATTTCAGGTGACCCATTGAAAAAAACTGTGGATGAACGGAGGATGAATGGGGTGCTGTTTCCTGTCCATGCCACCGTGATCAATCACTGTTGATGAGACCAATGATGCAAGTGATAGGATCTTTTCAAGCTGTATTGTATATTGTTAACATTTATTTTTAAATATCTCCTTAGCCATATAAAACCAATGTACAGTGGCAAAGAACAGATGGTGGTGGGCCTTCAGAAATCTTTTTTAACATCTGTAAAAAAATGGTTTCATTATATAATGCTATTCCTTGAATGTTGGAGAGACACCTGGAAGGACAGTTCAAACAGCAGTCAAGGAGTTTGAAAGGAGGCATCCTGTGTGAGTGGGAAAATGCATGCCAAAAATCCTAATTTTTTTTTTAAGTGAAAATTCCAGTACCAGATGTGGATATAGTCTTATGAATCTTTGGCCATGGAAGCTCAACAAATCATAAAGGCTATTATCTCTGATGTTGACTACATGCCAGAACTAGCAAGTATGTTCCACTTGCTAGCAATATGATGTGCTTTGGTTGCAGGACGTGCAGAAATCACTATGAGCTTAACCTGGAGGTTCCCTCCCTGTCTGGTAGCTTTCATAGTGCTATGCAAACTGCTTAGAGAGAATTGTCACCAATTGCCATGATTGATATGACTCTGCATACTAAACTACCATTATGCCAGTCAAGAGGTGCCCAGCGGCATGGCTGATATGGGTGCAACCAACTGCTTTCTGGTTCAAGTCAAGCTCCTGAGAGTGAGTGACAGTTACAATAGCATTGTGATCTAGTGGTCAACTATAAATGGAGGAAAATAACCAGACATGTATATCACCTCCTCCAAGACTCAGGGAACTTTATGGAAGAGGAAGTGGAAAGAATGAAAGAGCATCAGTAGGGTAGAGTGTTATATAACTATCTCCTTTAAATTGAAACATTCTCTCCTGGAAGGAGGAAGTTCATAGACTCAGGAACCTCCGGAAACTTCCAAGGTTCATGGAGCTCCCAATGTTTTAAGATTTGCAAGGTCCCTTCTCAAGTTAATAAAAAGCAGTAATCAATTGCTCAGGAAGAGAAAAGTCACTAGTGGAGTTGTCTGTGAGCTGGGCAGGCTACTTTAAGAATGAAGCTTTCCTGACTCATCACTCATGCTGAGGTGAACATTTTGGCGATATAGATACCTCTAAGCCATCATGTTTCTCTAACTAACCCCTCACCTATGTCCTTTGAAGCAACACCAGTAAACTCAGTAGGACTTGAGTAGAATAATTTCTTTGGTCTGTCATAGTATCCTATCTGGGATGAGTGGATGTTGATTCATATTTAAACAGGAAAAAATAAATCACTAAAGCATACCACCTGTCATGCTTTGCAAAACTCACCCACTCCTATGATTTAAATGGCTAACTTATCACAATGGCGATCCACAAGTCCTATATCCAGCTCACAGCATATCTCTTGTGCTCATGTTCATTACTAATTACTGACTAAATTAATATTAACATCTTAAAGACATACCATAATCCACATATTCACATACACCCTTTTCCCTCAAACCAAGAAATCTTCCTCTGTATGTATTCTCAGATTCAAAATCTTGGATTTTTTTTCTCACTGCTAACTCTGAACCAAATCTGATTCCTGTGCTGTCCTAAATAAATTCCTCAATGAATCAACATAAAAAACAGTCTCCTTCTCTTCATGTGTACCATCACCTATCTTTCCCACAAATTTATCACCATCTGTCTTGTTACTTATGTCCATGTACATTTCCACTTTCCTAGGACAGAGGGATTATTACTCATAGTTTTATCTGCTCTAATACATAATGAACACTTTAGTCATCCAACTGAGCAAAAATTGTTAATAGAGAATTCTCCAAAGAATTAAAACCTTCTCTACTGTATTGAAACAAACTGTCTTCAGGAAAGTACATTGGTTATGAAAAGATAGACTATAAAAGAGTTTTCAGTTTGGAAAGGAAAGGAATCCAGAAGGGAATTTCATAAGCCAGAGAAAATTTAGGGCATCTAGGAACCAACACTTTCCAAATTTAATGCTTTAAGTATTAATTTTACTTTATCACTTCTAAACTGGCCAGGTCAGCCTTGGCTTGCAAAGAATCCCTTCTGTTCCTCTCACACCTGTCTCAATACAGGTCCCAGGGATTTCAAAATAATATGAAGTCAGGGTGACATAGATTTTTTTATATTATTTCTGCAGTCTCTTAAGAAACTGAAGTGGGATATTTGCTTGCTTTGGTCCTTTAAGTTTGAGAAAATCCTGCTATGTTTTCTGTGATAGGGTTTTCCTTTCATGTTAAGAATTTTATATTAAATAACAGCTTTGATGAGCTCAAGGTTATTTTGTGGACAATATCCAGATGAACTGAGTGTGGTATAGTAATTAAAAGTAAAGTGGAAATAGTATCCAGTAGATCACTTGGGTTGCTTAAACAAAATTATCTTACTTTTCAATATATAACTATTTTGAATAAATAGTTATTTTTCAGGTGACTAGAGTTGTAAAAATATTCTGAGAATACAATTCAATAAAAATAATATCTTTTTTATACACATATACCTACTTATGCAATTAACAAAAGGCTATTTGGTACCAACTATACACAGAAGATAATGGTAGAACAAAACAAAATGAAACATGGTCTTGGTCATCTGAGAGACTAAAGTTTTCCATATAAAACAAATAAGTTTCACAAATAATAACTTAAATTTCCCAATTTTTGTTATTTTTATTTATTATTTTATTATTTATTTACATTATTTTTGTTCAAATTTCATACAATGTATTTTGACCATATTTAAATCCCCTCCTTATTCTTTACTGTCCCCCTTTAATCCCCACACCAAATATACTCTCTCTCTTTAACAGAGAGAGAGAGAGAGAGAGAGAGAGAGAGAGAGAGAAAGAGAGAGACCTATCCAGTAATATTTGTGTCCCCAAATGCCCTTCAGTGTGGGTTCACTTACTGAAGCCTGGTCAACCTATAAAGTTAAATTTCCTTTTGAAAAGTGAAGCTGGGGCTGGAGAGATGGCTCAGTGGTCAAGGGTACTGGCTGTTCTTATAGAAGACCCAGGTTCAAATCCCAGCACCCATATGGCAGCAAACTGTCTGTAACTTTAATTCCAGGAGATCCAACACCTTCTTCTGTCCTCTATGGGCACTGCACAACATGAGTGCACTTACACACATGCATGCATAACATTCATACACATAAAGTAAAAATAAAGTTAAAAGTTAAGCTAACAGAGCTATTATTGTAATATACTTTGAGATTGTTCCCAACACTCCCATTCGTCAAACATCTAAGAATAATAAAAAGATGTTCACTCAAGGATGGGGAAGATTGTGAAAGGCTCTTCTCACTTTAAAATTCTATGATTCAATGAATATTGAGTCCTCTAATGGAAAAAGTGAAATAAGGAAAATATGAAGTTGTATGAACAAAGTGTCACTTAGAGATAGCAGACAAATGTATTTGTTGATACTGACAAAGTCATGAATTTTGATGCTTTTACTTTTACTGTGCAAAAATACCTCACATGATATGTGGAAAGAGGTAAAATAGCTCCATGTTATAAATCAAATAGTTGAATAGGATAAATTCCTTCCCGTTGAAATTCTCTATGACAAGCCTCAACCTCATATTTGTAATGAGAACTGAATTACCTTAAATCAACAATCCATTTTACGGCCAGAGATATGGGTCAACAGGTAAAGACACTTACCTCTACACCCGATGACCGGAGTTTGATCCACTGAACCAAATCGCGGATATTGTCCTCTAACCTCCCCAAAAAATGCCATAGCACACACAAGTCCACATACATGCATACATAATACACACAAAAATGCAAAAAAACTTAATTCATAATGTATAGAAGATACACATCAGTCCAAAACAATAAAATTATCTCACTCAAATACGTATTTTGATTTGGTTTCAAGTATAGCACCATAAAATTAAACATACAAATGAAACATATATTTACATATTACAAAATTTTATTAAATTAATCAATATTCAATTAACTTTATGTATTAACTTTACTACCCTATCAAAGCAACTGTTCATTACTGCAGTTTAGAATTTTGAAGAGGGACAATGCATCTGCACTAACTATGAATATTTGCACAAAATTGTTTTAAGATGTACAGTGTCTGTGTCTAGACATCAAGGTACAGTGTGCCACTGTTCTCAGTCAGTAATCAGGGAGTTTTCCTACAAAGGAAATCTGCGGCTATACATTTCCAAAAGCACGTTAATACCTTAGGAAGCCCAGTTGTTCCAGATGTGTAGAGGATATACAGAGGATGGTCTGAAAGCACTGGAACACAGTCATGTGATTGGGCTTTTGCCATTTCTTCTTCCCAATCAAGATCCCGACCTGGCACCAAAGAAATTTTCTCCTACACAGAAAAATATAGAAATATGCACAGTAAACAGAAGATTAAATAACAGGAAAACCAAATTAAATAGCCAGAAAACAAATGAGATGTTCACAATGTCTGAGCATCTCATTGAAAAAATAGTCTACATGGCACAAATCATTGGATTTAAAAATCAAAATCTCAGTTTTAAGTTAAGTGTTTATAAAAATCCAGAGGTTTGCTGTCAGTTTATATCTAACTAAAAAAAGCCCATTAAAAAAAAAAAAAACCCTGAAATCTAGGGATGCCCTTGGGAAATCTAATGCAATTCATTTATGTTTTTACCTACATTAGAGCTTAATTAACTCAGAGGTCCACGTTCCCAAAAATGAATGTGCACAAGTAACTTTAAAAATTGTTATATTTTGGAAATTTTTAACTTTAGAACTTCTGTACTCAAAACAGAATGTCAACTAATGCATCTACATACTTAAGAAGACATTTGGGAGTAACACCACGGCCACCTAATGAGGGAACATCACATCACCTTCAGGGACAGGGAAACATTCCACCTCTGTTTTTTCAAGAAGAAAATCAGTTTTAAAATTAAAGAGAAAATGTTGCATATCTAAAATCTTTTCCAAGTTTTCCTCCTCTTTAGTCATTAATTAATGTAGTGAAAAGTTTGTTTATATCCTCCCTCAAGAACAAGGCTTTGTTTTATAAATTTTGTGAGAACAGTCACATGACAAAAATGTAAAACTTTAAATAAATTAAGCAGCCATAAAATGAGCAGAAAAATAAAGGCTACAGAGCAGGCTTAAGATAAAGCTATGATAATAAGATAGTATATATATCTAGGTAGAGTTCATACCCATTGTATATGGAGCTATTTCTTGAAACTCTAACCTAAATTCAAGAAATATGTTAACATAGGCAGAAGGTACTTACACAAGATTTAGTAAAATAAAAGAAAAAATTCAACCAGAGATGTGTACATTCATTTACTTTATTAAGGTGAATTCTGAACTAAGCCTAAAAATTCTGGAGGACTTACAAAAAAACCTTCAATTTTCACTGGTCCCTAATATGAATTAAGGTTATAAAAATATCATATATTTGAAAATATACATTAAGGTCAGGGGTGGTGGTACACACTTTAATTCCAGCACTCAGAGACAGAGGTATTAGGATATCTGTGAGATCAGGCCAGTCTGGTCCGTACAGTGAGTTCCAGACCAGTTGGGGCTACAAGGAGACCCTCTCTCAAATAATAGAATAAAATAAAAAATAAAATTTAAAAATGTACTTTACAAAGTAAAGCTTCAAAAGAATATCAAAAATGCGGTTCATACATGACTATATTCATTTGTAAATGGTAATCTGAACTGAAGACCTTTCATCAAGGTTAAATTTCTAGCCCATGTGAATTCCCTGGTTAAACTCTGATAGGCTGAAGTTGGTGTCATTTAAATAAATAGAAATATTAACTGTGAGAAAATGTTTTCATGTATTTTATGCAAGAGATTAAAATAACTAATTTTAAATTATCAAAGCTTTAAAGTCATAATTATAGAGCTATAGAAATCAACATACATTAGAAAACAAAACTTTATTGTAATAGCAAACATTTGTGATTTTTACAGGCCTTTAATGAGATGGGCACTAGAATGAATGGCTGTTATTTAGGCTAAGAAATATAGATTTGAGTAAAGGAGAACTCATAAAGAGAGAAAAATCAACATTTATCACTAATTATATATGATACACACAGACACGTATGTGTTTACTTCTGTAGGCATGTCTTTCCTAGATCACAGTATTATTAACAGAAAATGCTGGGAAAGCAGTGGGGTGACTGAAACAATAGTCCTCGGTCATTGCTTGCCTGAGCCTTGAGAATAGTAGCCAAGCTTTTACCTCCTCTGGCACAAATGCAATCCTAGTTAATGACATGCATTGTCCAGTCACATCATTTGTTCCTCTCTAAATTCAAAGCAAAGTCAATCCATTGGGTTTAATTACAGCCTTAATAAATGTTTGATGTATTAATTTTTATTTCATGTGCATATGACTATTCTGTCTGCATGGATGTAAGTACACTTGTTTCATACAGTTCCCACAGAGGCCAGAAAAAGGTTTCAGAGTCTCTGGAACTGGAGTTATGAACAGTTATTAGCCACCAAGTAGACACTGTGACCCAATCAGGTTCTCAGTAATAACTGCCAGTGCTCTTAACCAGCGAGCCACCTCTCCAGCCCTAGCTTTGAAGTTTTGATCCTTTTGCTCCTGCTTCTCATACTGGTAGCACAAAAATTTGCCAGTCCCTGGAAATGTTTATTTTTTGTTTTCTAATCTTCTAGGATCTTGAAAAAATATACAAAGTATCTTTCAAACCAAATGATAGACAGTTAACATTCACCTGTATTCTTATTAAATTTAAAGTAAAAATGGCAGCCTGATAGCACAACACATAAACTCAGTTGATTAATACCACCATCATTTGTGTATCATGATATTTGTTATTTTAACCTAGTTCATCATGGATACTATTCACTTTTCCTGCCTATAAATGCCAGTGATATTCAGGATATGTAATAGTTTATGAATCAACTGTCACTTTTGAAAGAACAAAACTAGAATTATTCTTGGCACAATACCATAAACAATGTTAAATTTTCAAATTACCATGTTAGGACGACTGTAAATGAGAACTTTGTCTGGCCTGTGTTGTCCTAGTCTTAGTGCTTCTTCCAGCAGGGGTATGTATTCTACCTTCCTTCCAGGTTCAATGCCAAATGATGCTGTAACAACAACCTTGGGCTGAAATTTAAAAAAAAGAAGAAGAAGAAGAAGAAAGGACAGAAAGAAAGAAAAATCTTTAGCAATCTTCATTATAGTAGTCACAATATTTCAGTATAGATTGTAAGTTTAACATTTCAAAAGAAATATTGGAGTGATTTCTGTTCTGTTTTCTATTGAATAAATATCCAGAAAATAAGGTAAGCCTTTTTGTAAGAATATTATAGTCTTAACCACTTACATGTAATTCTTACCTGTTCAAAATTATGCACTCAATGATGTTTTGGGTTTATAAATATGAGTTATGTGAAATATTTTCCCAAGGATTCATTAAATCAAGTAAATTTTCCATGATCAAGTGAAATGCAAACCTCAGTAACATGGTACATACCAATCAGGTTGCAATGAGTAAGCTGATTTTAGGTTTTCTAGGGAAGTACTGCCTCTAAATTCCTAGATACCAAGAAAGAAGACCACCCAAAATGCAAATAATTTTTATTTTTCTCATCCTTAATATATGATATAATATTTATATTTTCATATTTTCTTTTTTCCATTTTTATTAATTTTTGTCCTTTTCATACAATGTATCTTAATCATATTTACACCCTGGCCTCTATCAGCATCTCCCCAGCAGCCCTACTCCATCAGTTTTGGTGTATTCTATCATGTATGTTAAGGCCTATCGAATCAATTCAGTGTACTCCGATGTCCCTCAGTGCAAGTTCATTCACTGAGGTCTAGTCATCCTATCTAGAGTCTTTCCCTTAGTAGATCAACTCTCCCTTTCCCAGCATTAATCAGTTTCCAATAGTTCCTCAGCTAAAGTTGGGGCCTGCTGTCCACTTCCCCAGTTTGATGCTGGGTTTTTGACAGTTTGTGCATGCTGACCCATTGCTGTAGTTCAAATAGCAAGGTCCCAGGAGCCTATAAGACTCTGTTTCCATATGGTCATTCACCGCCTCACCTGGCTCTTACAATTTTTCTCTCCCTCTTCCTAGGTGGCCACTGAGTCCTGGGTGGGTGAAGTTTCATATAGAAATCCCGTCCAGAGATCCACACTCTGAAGACTTATTTTCTACTTTTGACTATTTGTGCCTTTTGCATGAGGGAGCTTCATTGAGGAGAATTGAGAGAAGTATTAATATTCTCTTTACCCCTTGTTCTACTATATTCCATGAACCTTAGGTGTAGAAGTTCTATTGTAGATGTGTCACTTAGGGTTGGACATATCAGAGACCTTATACTCTGTGTGTGATCAGTTATGGAACTCTGTAATATCTCTGTCTGTTGCAAAAGAGATTTCTTTAATAAACGGTGACTGGCATATTTGTCTGTAAATATAAGGATCCATACTTTGCACATAGTAAGAAATATTTGTCTAGGGATGTGACAGCCTGAGGATTTTCTCTAAGGTCTATGACCTCTCCAGCCACATGTATTTGCCTATGTTTACAGTACCATATATGGGTTCCTTCTAATTGCGTGGGCTTTAAGTCCAATCACATAGCTATTAATTACCCCCAAAATAAAATGCCACTACTGCACCAATATAGTTTTCTGTGCCAGTCATAGCTGTGGTGATTAGGCTTTAAAGCTAGGGTTAGACCATTGATTGATGTTCTCCCTTAGCAATTTGCATAGTACCTTCCAAAACTATGAGAACTAGTGTTGTTGTTTGGATGAAAATGTCTCCCATAGGTTCCAAGCATTTGAACATTTTGTCCCCAGTTGGTGGCACTGTTTTGGCAGTTGTTAGGCCATGTGGCCATGCTGGAGGAAGCATATCACTGGGGGCAGGCTTAGAGAGTTCCTAAGCTTTGCCAGGATTCCATGCACTCCCTTGCTCTTCTTGTGCCCACTTGAAGATGTAGAGCCTAGCTTCTGCTCCTCCACCAGCCAACTCTATGGTCATGCCTCCCAGCCACGGAACTCTTGCCCCTTGGAACCGTAAGCTCAAATAAAGTCTTCTTTCTATAAGTTGCTTTGGTCAGTGTTGCTATCACAGCAACAGAAAAGCAACTAATATAGCTAGCCTTCAGGAAGGTGGCTTCCAAGTCTCTATTGCTCCAAGTCCTGTGTCAGAAGTATGTTCTGTCTTCAGCAATAGGGTGTTACTTTCAAGTTATGGTAGAAAATCAAGGGCTCTGGCAATAGCCTGTATAATTTTGGGAGTCTCAGGAGGTTTCTTCTATTTAGCACTGTTTCTTGTTATTTAGCTTTCAGCTATACCCAAGGACTCATGCAGAAATATTGTACGGGTAATTTTCAGTACACTTTTGCAGTAGTACATTTCCCTATGGTTTTATTTTTACAAGAGTTAATAAGCGTTACTTATCTCTCCTCTCTTTGTAATGTTTTCCTTTTTTCCATTTCATTAATTTCTGCTCTGGATTTTATTTCTCTCATCTTTATTTAGCTTTCAGCTATACCCAAGGACTCATGCAGAAATATTGTACGGGTAATTTTCAGTACACTTTTGCAGTAGTACATTTCCCTATGGTTTTATTTTTACAAGAGTTAATAAGCGTTACTTATCTCTCCTCTCTTTGTAATGTTTTCCTTTTTTCCATTTCATTAATTTCTGCTCTGGATTTTATTTCTCTCATCTGCTGAGTTTGGGTTTCAGATGTTCTTGTTTTTCCATAGTC